AACATAATCGTATATATTTATGTTAAATCTAATAATTAATAAATGAAATGAATGAAGAAAAAAGAATTGATAATAATTAATAAATATTAATATAATAATTTTTTATTAATTATATCTCTTCTTCTTTCTTTTTTCTCTCCCTTTTATTGTTCAAAAATATAAGCTAAAAAAGTAGTAAATAATTTTGTTTATTTTGCATAAATTTATCAACAATGATGATAGTTGATTGAATCTTGTTGTATATCTTCTATACATACATATATATATGTATATGGCAGAGGATAATATTTGAATTTTTAAACTTATGAATGATATTAGGGAAAGAAGAATGACGATAGATAAACATAAGCCAAATATATATATATATATGTAAAATAAGTAAAGGGATTTTAGAGTTATTTTGCTTTTATCTTTTTTCATACGTCATTCGTAAAAGAGAATGAAATGAGAAGGGTAGGTGAGGGAGAGAGAAAGATAATGATGTTAGTTTGAAATAAGTCGTATTACTACTGATTCTTATATGATTCTTTATAGGATATATTCTATAAATATCCATTCTTAAAAATTATTCATGCATAAATCACGTATAAGGTTTAGTTTGAAATTTTAAAATGCTAAAAATTTATGATGTAAAAATTTTTATTGAAATTTAATGAGTTTATTTTTTTGATTGCTTAAAATTTTTATTAGTGATAGCTAGTATTTAATGAATTTAATGTAATGGATATGCTTAAATTAAATTGTCAATCAATTTTAAAACTGCTTCAAGTATTAAAATGACTTTTTCATTTCTATAATCTTCACTAATAGTGCAATATTTACATATATCGCTATCATGGCTTAGGCTTTTCGAACAGCAGATATATGAAAGGCTAGAGTTAAACTTGCTGCAGGCACATTAATGGCTAAAAAAAGCTAATGCAAAATAAACAAGTTCGGATGCAAAAAGTACAGTGAAAGATTTATTTAGCTGATATTGATGTAGTACGGTTTTTTTTTTTTTTTTTTTTTGTGCATTGTTGTTTGTCCTTGAGATTGGTTCTGCGTATGTTCTCGAAGAAAGTAGGCAGCTTTATGAATAATGTCTTTCTGTCTCTATGTCACCCGATTCGAAATCAGATTGGTCCACATTGATGGTAGTATACATAGCCAAGATTAAGAGATATTGTTTCAGGGCGTTCTTGTATCTTCTTTTTGTGATTCTACTTTTGAGGAAGCTGATGGCTAGGTTGAAAAAGAGCATGATCTTAGGAAGGAGATGACTTTCTATCCTGGAGACATGCCCAATCCAGACGAAACTATGCCTTCAACAGCATAGCCTCAATATGGCTACCCCTGCTTATATGAGAATGGTACATCGGATACGTAGTTAAACCAATGAATGTTTAGGATTGTACGGAGGTAGCACCAGTGAAAGCATTCATGGAATCGCAGATGGTGGCGGTAGATGATAACCTATGATTCAGAATCATATAATAGAATAGTCAGTACAGACACTAATCTGGTACTCCTCTTCCAGTGTTTATTGCACCAGACTCTTTTATAAAATTTTTCGAAAGCTTTGTTTGCCTTCACTAATCGGTTGTCAATCTCTTTGTAGATCTTGACATCGGAAGAAATGATGCTGACCAAATAGCTGAACTGCTGAACTGAGCTCTGAGCTCTAATTCGCCTATGTTGATATGAGAATGAAACTTATCATCACTGTGGTGCAAGCTAATGGAAAATTTCTTTCTTCTTCAAGCTTACTTCTAGGCCAAACAGCTTTGTAACCTCTGCAAAAGAAGATATTAAGCGCTGCGGAGATGCTTCTATGTGACCGATGAGGACAGCATCGTTGACAAAAAGTAACTCTCAGATGTGGAAATTTAGCGTCTTGGTATTGGTCTTCAGTCGCCTTAGGTTGAATTAGCTTCCATCGGTACAATATCGAATATAAATGCCATTTTCTTCATCTAGTTCTACCGTAGCCCTTTGGAGCAACATACTGAAGTAGATTGTAAAGGTGATTGATGCAAGAATACAACCTTGTTTCAATCCATTAATTATTAGGAAAGGCATTGAGAGTGTATCATCATATTTGAACTTGGCCGTGTTGATTCTCATACAATAGTATGATCATTTTTAGGTGTTCTAAGATCTATCGTAGGACTTCTCTACTTATGGTATCAAAGGCATTGATGAGATCTACAAAAATTATATAAAAGCCTTTATCCTGTTCTCTGCATTTCTCTTGCAGTTGTCGGAACAAATACCATATCTGTGACACTCCTATTTGCTCTGAAGCCATATCGATTTTCATGTGAAATTTTTCCTGATTTGATGGATACCAATCTGCTCAGAAGTATACTTGTAAGGATTTTATCAGCAATAGAGAGGAGGTAATGCAGCGATAATGATTACATCACGGTGATCTGGTGGAAGTTCGCTTTCTTCCTAACTTTGTAGAACCAGCTTGTGAAATTTAGCGTGAAATGCTTGACCTCCGTGTTTCCAGACCTTAAGTGCGATACCATCGATTCAACTGCCTAACCAGTTTTCATCTGCTCTATGACCTTCGGCATCCCTATCATAGGGTTATATCCAATTCGCTTTTCACCAGCTGTTGCGTAATTTACTGAATTACTGGGCCTTGGATTGCACGGTTTGCATTAAGGCTGGAAATGACTGGAAAGAGACTGGAAATGTTCAGGGCATTCACTATGGAGGTTTTATATGTGAAAAGCATTTGACCATCTGCGTTGAGTAGAGAGAGCCTTGGACATCTGATATGAGTCCGTACATTGTTTTCCGAGCCTCATAAAATCCTCTGTAGTTACCCGAATCTGTGCATAGTTATTTTGAGTATTTCATGCTAGTTGATTCACATTTGCTCTGGATACCTCGATGTCGCCGATTTTCTTCAACCGTGACAAAAACTGAGGGTTCTTTCTGCTTCTTTGGGTAGTAATACCTCAAACTTGGGTAATTAAACCTTTATTACAATAAATTTATTAATACAACAACGAACTTGTAATTATGACATCGACACAACAAATTAATAATGAAAAATTAAGAACGAAGAGATTGAATCACGCCCGATATCCTCCAACCGACCTGTCAAAACGCGTCTTTCGAAATGAATTGGTACTCAGGATCTTCCGTTTCTCCAAGTGGGAGGGTCCTTGTACCGTTTTATGATTACAAGAATTAGCTTCCTTATTGAGCACCCATTGATTTAGGATTAAGACGATATGAGCATATACAGCAAAGATGTCTAGCTTTCAACAAAGGAGATTATTGTTCCTTTGTTTCCACTTGTGAATCAGCGACACTCGAAGTTTCTGTGGAGCTTACTGCACACACGGCAAAAGGTGACCTTCCTTCCATACATTGCAGATGGCTGATGAGGTCTGCTCACCAAGCAGACCTCTTTTTTGTCAGCAAATTCTGGATCTCTTCATTGTTTTCATCAACCGGTCTTTATTCCTTTTGCAAGACAATCCTAAGGATTTCATGGAGGATTGCAGGGCTGGCTTCAATAAGTTGCCAAGGCGTTTTAGGCGAGGGATCTGTGACATGATCTTGAAGTCTGGTTTGAAGATTTATCTAGAAGCTATCTCACACTCTTGGTGTTTGGAGATTGTCAACTTTAAGCCTTCTTTTTACGATTCTACCTATCTCTCTCAAGAATCCATGTTGTTTTTAAACTGTCTCTCTGTTGAAAGATAATGTTTGCGATGGTAAGTTCGCTGTAGTTTCCAATAACACGCTTGCTTAATACAGTTTTCTAGACAGTTTGGAACCCTTTCCAATTTAGCATTGAAGTCATCAAGGATTATGATCTTATCATTTGGGAAAAACCTTTCGGATAAGACGCGTAAATCGGTAGAGAATCTGTTTTTTCTTTTTTTCCATAGGATCAGGTTACGAAATTGGAGCATATATGCTGAAGAGAACAACTTATTGCTTGTTGTGTAATGAATAGCATAGAGAGATAATACGATCGGAATGATCTGTCGGCAGATTTTCGAGTTTGAAGTTAGTGGAATTTTTAATCATGAAGCCAATTCCTGAGAGATGGCTTTCGGTTTTGGATTTTCTTGACCGGTAAGGTGTATGACCAGCACCATGTTCATTAAGGCTATTGTCCTTATGGAGATGAATTTCATTAACAGCAATAATGTCGATGTTGAGTCCTGATAGTTGGCGAACAATAAAAGTAAAGCGATACTCAGAATGTCCACTTTCATTGGACACATTGATGGTACACTGTAAAAGCATCTCAATCAGATAATCATACTTATATCCAATGGTACATATCTCGACTTCTGTTAAACAACGCATTCCTTTGTCTGAGAATTAATCTTTTATATAATGTATTAGTTTTGTCAATCATACCCGTAATACAAGGAGTTTTTAAAATCAATTTTTTTAGATAAAATCATTTTCAGCTTTAATTTATCTTCAATTATCTCCAATTTCAACACCCAAATTTTTCCCTCTTTTCACAAATAATAAACTCATCCAGAAATATTTTTATATTCTACCGCGAATTTGCTAAAAAAACTATTACCTCCATTAATAAACCTTTATTAATCATCTTGCGTCCGTGTCAAACAACATAAAATTTCATCGTCGGTCTTTTCCAAACCATAATATTTTTTTTTTTTTTTTTTTCTACAACAGAGGCAGTGTCTATGTCTTTGTCTTTTTGTGCGACGGTGCCAGAAGATGCCGGTTGGTCGCAGTTGGTCAACTTGGCGGAGGCGGAGATGAGCTTTAGGTCCCTCTCTGTATGGAGCAAGCAGTACTATCCTTGGAAAAGGCTGCTTGATCGTTCGTGATGATGATGCTGAACAAGACCGTCATCTCCAGCGTCAATCTCGAGCGACCATTCTCCTGAATTGCTTGCATGTAGAATTGGGTCTGCGACTTCCACTGTATCTTATCACCCACCGTTTCGTCCCCCTCCCATCATTTCAGGACTTTAAAAAATGAGTGTATTCTTCGAACCTTCGGTAATGAATTTTTTAGATGAAGCGCAGCGTGCTTGGAACTAGTCCCACTCTTTACTTCTGAGGTTCATCTGCCAAAACCTTAGCGAGCCTAGCAGCGAAGTCCTTAGGACGTAGTTTGCCCTGTTCTCAGATGGATGACTTTAGGGAGCTAAACGAGCTCCATTTGTCTAGGTTTGGGGATAGAGTTGACGTTTTCTTGGTTCGAATTTTCGATGCACACATTTTTTACGATGTTAATGGGTTTTACACATATTGCCGGGATGAAAGAAACTTCCCTAATAAATATCCAAAGCAACAACCATAACCAAGCTTTCTTCACATTCCAAAAGCACATTCATCAACTGCCAATTCAGAGAACGGAAAATGAGAATGCAAAAGAGAGAAATATAAAAAATAATGTGAAACGGATGAATTAAAAACTGTTTGAACCTTTGGTCGTTTAATTCCAACAAATCTGAAATAAAAAGCTTCCATTCGAACATTTCTGCCATTTCAAAAATTCTGTACTTCGCCTTGTTCTTCACTATATCGATGACATACATGATTTGGTTCAATCTTCTGCTATGTATCGCTTCAGCTCAGAATGTTTTAGTTAGTCAGAATGTTTTAATGTTTCTCAGAATGTTTTAATTAGTTATTTTCACTTAATGTCAGCACTTATAATACTATCGTTCATTATCCTGGTTCACAAAATGGTCATTCCCAATTTATTTTGATCAACTTTACAGTTTCCAAACGATGCTTCCAGCCAAAATGCAATAGTTTGATAGCATCACTCCGCTAATGGAAACTTTTCAAATAGCTCTAGTTACGGCTATTTGGTATTTGGAGTCAATGCTTAGCGAGAATAAGTGGTACGATTCGTCATACAACAATGAATTGGCGAAATACTGATGAAAAGTTATTGAGAACAAGCGATGAAGAATTGCATAATGGATATTTCGTCTGATTTTTCGCAATTCTTTGCTCTCCTTATATAATAGCATATAATTAAGACTTGCGTTTGCGGAAAATTCACAATTATCTATCTGTTATGTCATCAGAAATAATATACTAAGCTTTAAATTTTACTGTAAATATATGCAAAAAAAGAAAAGTAAATATTTTCTTCTAACATAAATTATCAGCGAAATTGGCTACTTTCTTAACTTGTCGTTATCAAGCACACAATTATTTGTCTGACCTATCACCACTGCTAAATATTAATGTCAAATTGTCAACCAAATAACTAATCTTTGACTTGCTTGCAATCTCTGTTGAATTTTCCATGAAATATTGTTTGCTATGACACGATAACTCACTACTGTAACCCCTTCTATGTGACATGTTCATATGAAAAATGTATATTTTAGTGGGATGAAAACATAATCTGTAATCTTTTTTGTTATCAATTTTAATTTTGAAGATAAATGTTAAATAAATCTGTTATTTCTTCTATTACATTATGTCACAAACAATTAAAAATAAACAGAAATAAGTTGTGACGATAGCTACAGTTGCTCATTCTTTCAGGAAAGTTAAGATAAGCTGCTATGATCAGATTTAATTAACATTTTTGTAGAATTCGTCCGTTTCCTTTCAAAGTGTTAATCCTATTTGGTAAAATTTACTTTAGATACTTCAGCGATAATAATGAAATAATGAATTGGAATCACTGTAATGTTAGTGACAAAATGGCAAAAGTGATCGGCTCTGATGCACTTCAATTATAAGGAACGACTACACGTGAGCCATAGTTAATTATGTAGTTTTGAACGAACTGGAACGAACTGGATTGTAAATAGGTTTACTAACGTGTACCATGCTATCGAATTATTATTTCCATTTTTGTTTTATCCTTGCATGATTAGCGATAAAATGCAGAAAAATGATTGGTTTCTGGTTCCAATTCTTTGAAATGAGTGATGACCATAAGTATGCTATGGTTTACTGTGTAGTTTCGAACGAAAGGAAACGGTTTAGATCATGTACATGTGTACTTGTGCAAATCATTTTATCA